CACACACAGAACACTTTTACAAAAAGAGTGCTTTTACTTTACTTAATGAAGGCGGCCTGGTGGTTCAGCAAGCCTGGCTGCTAACCAAAAGGACGGCAGTTCAAACCCACCAGGTGGCACCATGGGAGAAAAATCTGGTCGTCCAATTCCACAAAGATTATAGTCAAGAACCCTTTTGGGCCATTCTACTGTGTCATATAGGGTTACCGTGAGTTGGAATCTACTTGGAAGCACACAACAACACATTACTTAATATTCACAGACGTAGGTGTGATTATACAGCATCTCCTTGGGATGCACATGGATTAGATACTGAAGTTGGTACCAGAGATGGAAGAATCCAGCATCTTCTGAAAGGCTGTCACCAGTGTGTTCATAACCCCACACCTACCTTCCCCAAGGCCGCTGTAAGAGCCCTATATGATGGCTGCTTAGAACCTGGAGGATTCCCGAACCCCACCGCTTTGGGGCTTCTCTTTGTTTGAGAGTTTCAGCCACTTACAGAAAGGAAGACCAAGGCTTCCTCTGCTACAACACAGGGCCACAGCTAGTCTCATCCACCACAGCCAAAATCCTTTTCAGAAGCCCAACTTTCTATACATGGCCTCCTCACAGATACCACCTTGTCTGATGAAACTGGAACATGCCAAAGTTACTCACAGGAGGGCTTTAAAGAAAGTGTGCCAAGTCTCTCTCTCTGCCAAAAGCTCACCAGATCCACAGCTCCCTGAGTGGCCACTCACACACACATCCTCACTCACTCACTATACAATGGAAGGAAGCCTTCAGGAGAAGAAAGACAGGTGAGCTGCTCATGCTTAGTTCTTCAAACTTAAATTGAAGGAAAAATTCACTCTTATATGTACCATTTTGTGGCATAACTGAACTACATTCTCTCAAATCAGAGATTTCTTACCCACCCTTCCCTCACCTCGCCCCAATATGAGAGAAAGTCCAAAAATATTGCTACTAGGGTTTTAGTTCATACATCCAAGGATTTATTTTACACAAAACATATTTAAATATCTCTGTGTTTAGTAGATGTATGCAGACAAATTCTCACATTATTACACTTTTCTTGGTCTCCTAAGAGTACCTTCATAAAAAGGTCTTGTCAAAACAGTGGTTTCCAATGGGATTTGCTGGGCCTCAGAAGGTTACGGGACTCCAAAGGGCTAATCTTGGCAACTTTTCTTGAAGGACACAGGATGAATATAGAGCTTATTTTGAAGAAGATTTAATAAAATTGAAAACTGAATTAGTGAGAAAAAGTTGGGATTTTATTCCATTACAACAATGCACCTACTAAAGCTTTGAAGACAGCAAGATCTGTCCTACAAGAATTTTGTTGGGAAATCTTACCCTATCCACCCTACAGCTCTGACCTTGCCCCTCCAGACATTTTTTGGTCTCAAAACTCAAAGGACATTGAAAAGGAGCACTATGTGAGCCCCTCAAGGATGCCAAAACTATTGTTTTGATGTGGTGGAAATCAAAGAACACAGGAATCTTCAGGAAAGGCTTAGAAAAATAGAAGCACCACCTTCAGAAGAAACACACACACAAAGACAGCAACAACAACAGAACGCATATAGACCTAGATGGAGGATATGTCAAAAAACAACAGCTTCACATTTAGGTATCTTTGTTGAATAAGGGTTTCTATGATTCTGTATGATTTTGTGTAATTCTTTTTGACTCAACTCTTATACTTTTTAAATTGTGATATTATTCACCTACCACAAAATTCATGCTTTTAAAGTATACAACTGAGTGTTTTAAAGTATATCCAAGGAGTTGTACAACTATCACCACTATCTAATGCCAGAACATTTTCATCACTCCTAAAAGAAACTGCAGCCTATGAATAATCCCACAAGAAGCTCCTAGCTGACCTGACTGAAGCTCACAGATCTCAGACCAAGGGGGCATGCTATTGATGTGAGGAACGGCTCTAGGCCAAGAAACAAGACATCATCAAGACTGTCCAAGGAGGGAGAGACCAAGAAATAAAGCTCTTGTGCTCTTGTCTGTACATAATGGCCTTGGCAGTTGTATAGTCATTCAGTAAAACAGGCCTTTGTCTGCTTGCCAAAAAAAAACAAAAGAAAGAAACTGCGGCTGATTTGTAAATTATTCTTCTATAGAGACCATTCTACAACCTTAGGCTGCTGAGCTCGTTCAGTTCTCAGAGTGCCCAAAGCATTCTTCAGTGACCTGAAAGTTTAAAAATAACTCAAGGTAAGATGTAGGACTGTTGGCCAAAATGTATAAACTATGACAAGCAACCACCTTGCTTGGAAACTAGTGGACAAAATGCCCCCCAAACCAAGAGAATCTCCAGGAGGAAATTGTGGAGTATTGTACAAAAGTCTAAACTTGCTCAGGAAACTTATCATGAAGTGATAAATTTAGAAAAAAAAGGAGTTTTGTTTTTTTGTTTTTAAAGACAGAAAAAACTTGAAAGATGTTCAGGATTCCCTAAACTTCCAACTCTCCCTTCATCTTGGTCACATCACTTAAATCTCTGGGCTCTGATGTCATCATTTGTAAAGTTTGATGGTAGCTTAATTGCCCAAAGTCATCATAATAATCACTAATAATCATAAGTGTAATACATGAGCAAGCATAATCTCTTAGTTGCAAAGTAAAGTGATTTCTTTGGACAAAAATTATCCACCTAAATCACCCAGAAATCATTCTGGAAGCAAATGAAGTTAAGCTAAGGAGAGTCAGTGAGCAAATTTCCCAGTGGCCTTTGACAGAGCACATCTCAAAGGGGGAGAATACGTAACAGGCACTTCAACAATTGGTAGGATGACAACCACCTGGTTGTATGATGGAATGAAAACAGGCATGATTTAGATAATTTAGAGGTGAACACCAGCAACAAGGGTTGCAGAAACAGTGTGGTTAACAGCATGGTTTCATATGACTTATTATTTTACAAAGGATAGCTTTCAACAAACAAGAGTGGAGATGGCACTCAGCAGTCAGTGGGCATGGGCAAGAAGTCATAGATGTGCTTCAGCGTGGACAAGTGTAGAGTACTACATTAACAAAAAAATCATTGCAATTCTCCAGATGAGACATGATTCTGATATGCCCTACACAATTTGGAAACATTACCCCATGTGTCACTACTGACTGTTCTTTGAAGACATTAGCTCACATTGTCTGAAGCAAACATCAACAGAAAGCTGCTATTGTTTTGAGCATGAAGTGAGAGACACAAGAGTTTGAGAAATAATACAGTCCACCATTCTCATTTTATCAAGTGAAGAAACTGGAGCCTAGATGGCTTGGGTAATTTGCACAGGAACCTACCTCATTGTGCCTTAAGCATAGCAAGCGATCAGTAAATACTAGTTAAAAAAAGAGAGAGAGAGATCACCCGACCATCCCTGAGACCCAAAGCCCTTTTACCACACATCACTAGGCCGCAAGGAGCACTACCAGTAAAGCATGAATTTTCAGTCCCATCACACACAGATATTACTGTTTTATCCTTGACATCAACTTCAAGGCCTTTCAAAGCAAAAAACTACCGTGGAGAGTATAGTATGAGCAATTCCTGAATCTGCATCTGAAAAGCAACTACAGAGCGAAACAATGTTGTTAGGTACCTTTGAGTTGGTTACAACTCATAGTGACCTTATGCATAACAGAACAAAACACTCCACACAGTCCTGTGCAACCTTCACAATCGTAGTTAACATTTCACACAACAGAATAATAATAAGTTTTAAATATTGACATCTTTCATCCATAAATATGAAAACTGAATGGTAAAATAAAATAAAAATTGATAATATTGTACCCACATGAAATAGAGTGAAATTGAACTTTTTCACCCAACACGTTAGCACTAAAATTGAAAAACTATTCTGGATAGCCGAAGAAGAAAATTTAAATGTGGACAAAGGAACCACTATTTTCCTTGGCAGGTAACAGACCTGTCTGTACAACTGGAATGACACCGGGTGAGACAGAAAACAAAATTCACGTGGTAATAATAAATTCATGAGCAACAAATACACAGTAGGTGGTTGAGAACAGTCTCAAGTATAGTTGTTGCTGTTCAGTGCCATCAGGTCCATTCCAACTCATAGTAACCCTATATAGGGTTTCTAGGGCTGCAAGTTTTTACAGGAGCAGAAAACCTTATCTTTCTCCCATGGAGCAGCTGGTGGGCTCCAGTCCAATGCTTACTCTACAGAGCTAATATGCACCCTTGTGTACAGTTGCTGTCAAGAGCTGTCAAGTTGGTTCTGACTCATAGCCACCATATATAGGGTTTCTGAGGAGCAGCTGTTGGATTTGAACCACCAACCTTGTGGTTAGCAGTCCAGTGCTGATCCTACAGTCCCCACCATGTACAGCAATACCCCTTATAAGCAGTTTCACTTTCCACAGTTTCAATCACTCATGGTCAACCTCAGTCCACAAATATTAAGTGGAAAAATCCAGAAATAAACTATTCATCAGTTTTAAATTGTGTGCTGTTCAACATAGCATGATGGAAATCTCAGACCATCCCCCTCCTGCCCAGTGTATACACACTCTACACACTACCTGCCAATGAGTCACTTATTAGCCTTCTTGGACTGGTGTGGTAATGCAATGCTTGCGTTCAAATAACCCCTATTTTACCTAATAATAGTTTGATTTTTATTATTGTTGTTAATCTCTTACTGTACCTAATTTATAAACTAAACTGTTTCCTAGGCATACAAGTACAGGGAAAAACATAGTATATATCAGATTCAGTAAAACCCACAGTTTCAGGCATCCACTGGGACCTGGGAACATATCTCTGTGAATAAGTGCACAAAGGCGGACTACTGTATGTGGCTCGTTCCTAACCTCTAGGCTTACAATCATGGGAGATAGCCTTGCCCTCTTACAAAATGTACCTCAGAGACATAAGCAAGATGAGAGCTCTGGTTTAATAGACAATGTAAAATAAACAAACAAAATAACACCATAGTGAAGCTTACCTGTGGGGTGGGATGCAGATACCAGCAGCACCACACTGAAAAAGACACCAAGGGGTCAGCAAGGCTTCCTGGTACAAAAAACACCCCGTCAATTCCACCCATTCTACTGTCCCTGCTTTTCCAAAGTTTGCTTTACAAGACTTCACTTTGATAAAAGACCTACATTAGTATCTGTTTTCACTAACGGAAAGAAATCTGAAAAGGATTTTCACTTTTATGAAAAAAGTCGAGACGTGAAACTCGCATTCAGCATTACAGTGAGCTGGTAAAACAGCCCAAGTAGCGAGAGTGGTGTCGCCAAACTCCTTCCCCGGGAGCCACCCTCAGCAACTCAGCATAAAGCTGCCGTGGTGTGAGCTATGTCTGTGAACACTACATGGTAGCATTCTCTTGAGTTTTACGTGTTATTTGGTTCTTGAAACACTCAAAAACTTTTCCCATAAAAAGTTATAGTAATTACTTCTTCACTTTACGCCACTCCAGCTTACAAAAGTTTCATAGAAATTCGGACACCAAGGTTCACTGTCCTGGAGTCAGTCCTAGACTCATGGCAACCCTGTGCACAGTGAAACAAAACGTTGCCCAGTCCCTCTGCATCCACACCATCCATTACAGATCAGGCTGTCCTGTTTTGTTACAGACAGCTTTTCTGTTTTGTTGTGAATTTTTCACTGTGATTTGGGTGAAGGTTTACAGAGCAAATCAGTTTTCCATTCAACAATTCACACACGTTCTGTTTTATATCACTAATTGCAACTTCCACAACGTAACATGGCTTATCCCACATCGTCCCTAGGTTTCCTGTTTCCATTCCTTTTTCTTTCCTAACCCTTCCTGCCTTCTGAACTCTGCCCTAGGGTAAATACTGCCCTTTTGTGATCCACAGAGTTTTCATTGCCTGATTTTCAGAAGGAGATGACCGGTTTCATCCCTCCCCCATCTGTGTTAGTCTGGAAGCTCTGCTGAAACCAGGTTAGCTTCATAGCATGAAACCTTCTACTGACAGGGAGGGGGTGGTTGCACATGAGATGCACTGTCCAAGAATCGAAATAGTCAAATTTGCCTGAAAGTTAATGATTTTTACTGAAACAATCAAGTCATTTGTCTAATTCCTCAGCAAAAGGGTGACAATCCCTTGAAATGACTCATGTTTTGGCAAGAGGATTGAATCCACCCTTGTGACTGATTGAGGGTACCGCGTCTCACTCTGCAGGTCACTGGCCACATTTAACCTTCCTAATAGCATAGTCACCTAGTTCTTAGGGTTTTTGTAAGCTTGACCAAGCAAATTCCACATTACAGATCACTTACAAGCCAAAAGCTGACTGTTCAAGGTGAGTTAAATATATTTTTGCCTCAAAATTAACCACACAGAAAGTATTAAATCCTACGAAGGTAGCCCACAAAATGATCCCTAACATCCACCATGTTTCTGAAAACTATCTGCACTGGTTTTCAATAGATACCAAATGGGTAAAAGGAGAATAAGAATGCCCCTCTGATGCTGGCCACAGTTGTCCTTGGCACATCTCATCTTACTGTCTGCAAGTTTCAACAGCCTCTCCTACCTCCCGAGGACTCTCACACAGCAACGGCATGCGGCCTAAGCCCACAGCAGTAAGCCAAACCTCTCACTTTTTACATCCTCCACAATTGCCATCTTCTCTTCCATCAAAACTCTCCTTCCATCTAGACAATGGATCCATTTGGGGCTGGAAATAACACTTTTTTTTTTTTTGCCAATATGGGAGGGATTTAACCCTTCCAAGGCCATACCCAAAAAACTGCTGGATGATCTACTGTGTGGCTCTTTGGCTGCCCAGTAGGATTGCCCAATGTCCATCCAGGCTTAAATTAGAATCAAGAGGCTATGGTCCTAGCAGCAGTTATTTTAGTTTTTTAAGGCCTCATTAGTTCTACCATGCACAGGGATGGAGAACCAACATAAAAAGTCAGTCTGTAGTTGGTGACATAGTTAGTGTGGAGGAAGACAGTCTGTCCAGGGAGATCACTGATAGTCAGCCCTGTCCCGTTCCCAATGCTATCTTTCTGTCCCATTTCTGTTATTCTCAGCCTCTTCCTCTGCCCTTCCTCTAACACAGAGACTACCAGAGTGCCGCCATAGGAAAAGATGCAGGGGAAGAGGAAGTTCAGGGAATCAGGAGGACAATAGAGAAAAGTCACATGTTTTGATCATCTGGAAGTTGCAGATTTGACAGACAGAGTTTATATATACAGGCAGTCTCTGGGTTTCGAACGGTCCAACTTACATACTATCAGTAGCTATTAACCTACTCTGTGAAGTTTACAAATTCATGGTACATACAATGGTTTGTAATAACAAACTGACACAAATTTGTGGCACATATCAAAACATTATTATTATTACTGCTGTATTAGTATGTTAAAGATGTTTTCATATACCTGGAAGTATATGAAAACATATACTAATGCTTTTTATGCATAAAAATGTACATGATGTACTAAGACAAACATTTCACTGAGGAACCTAACCATAACTAACTGTTCTGATTGACATATAAATTAAACTTAAAGGCAAACTTAGGAATTCCTTCATAATGAAGAGGGGTGGGAGCTTGTAGCTCTAAAAACTATACATACTCCAAGTAAGCCTTGGAGATTTTCCAATGATCAGTCCTTGGGATGACTCTGTAAGGCTTTGCTTGACATCTCAATTTTTTGAGAAAACACATTCCCTACACCCACTCCTTGATTTTCTCTCTTTGGCTTTCCTTTTGGTTACAACTCCAGGAGCAGAAGCTATTGCTTCTATGGCCAGGTATACGGACCCTTTCCACTCAGAAAAATTTCCTAAGACCTGCTATGGTACCTAAAATCCCATCACTGCATTACCACAAACAGTGTGTCTAAAATAAAATACTAAGGATTAAAATGTATTAAATGAAAGAACTGGTTTCCTATTCAAATTTTGCAAATAGGTGTTGTTAAGTGCCATTGAGTCAGTTCTGAAGCATAACGACCCATATAGGGTCATTGTCTATAACAATAGAACAAAGTACCTTCCGGTCCACATGCAAATACAATTATTAATGTAATAAAAATATTACATTAAATCCCAGTACCTATACTGCTACCTGCATTCAGGTGTATTCTATTCATCTTTGAATGCCAAGTGCCAGCAGTACCAGACACCTAGGCAGGCGCTCAATATGTTTCTAAATCATAATTCATCCCCTCTGAGTATATCTGCCACCACTCATCTGCCAGTTTGTTGTACTGAGGTACTTTGCATGATTCTGGAAGCTATGCCATGAGTATTTTAAAAACAAGCAGGGTCAATCATAGTGGGCAGGTTTCAGCACAGCTTCCAGACTAAGACAGACTAGGGAGAAGGAGAGGTGGACCGCTTCTGAATGGTTAGCCACTGAAAACCTTATAAATAGCAGTAGAGTACTGTCAGATGTAGTGCCAAAAGATGAGCCCCTCAGGTTGGAAGGTGCTCAAAATAAGACTTGGGAAGAGCTGCCTCCTCAAAGTTGACCAGCATGATGTCAAAGGAACAAAGCTTTCTGGACCTTCATTTGCTGATGGGAAACAACTCAAAATGAGAAGAAATAGCTGCAAACATCAATTAAGAATCGGAACATAGAATGTACAAAGTATGAATCTAGGAAAATTGGAAGTTGTCAAAAATGAAATGCAATGCACAAAGATCCATGTCCTAGATGTGGTGCTGTAGCATACACTGGACTACTAACTGCAAGGTCGGTAGTTCAAACCCACCAGTTGTTACTAGCAAACCCTAAACAGGGCCACCATGAGTCAAAACTGACTCAATGGCACTAAAAACAACATACACATGGACCTCACCAATTGGACTACACAGAAATCAAATTGACTACACCTGTGGGAAGAAATGGTGGAGAAGCTCCATATAATCAGCCAAAACAAGGCCAGAGGCAGACAGTGAAACAGATTATCAAATATTCACATGCAAGTCCAGGTTGAAGCTGAAGAAAGTACAAACAAGTCCACAGGAGCCAAAATATGGCCTTGAATACATTCCATCTGAATGTAAAGATCATCTCAAGAACAGATGTGAAGCAGTAGACCAAAGACCAAAAGAGTTGTGGGGTGACATCAAGAGCATCATACAAAGAAAGCAAAAGGCCATTAAAAAGACAGGAAAACAAGAAAAGACCAAAGTGGATGTCAGAAGAGACTGAAACTTGAGTGTAGAGACACTGAAGTGACTGGAAGAATTGAGGAAGTCAAGAGCTGAGCAGAAAATTTCAAAGGGAAGCTCAAGAAGACAAGTTCAAGTATTATAATAAAATGTACAAAGACCTAGCTTTAGAGAGCCAAAAGGGAAGAGCACACTCAGCATTTCTCATGCTGACAGAACTGAAGAAAAAATTTAAGCCTTGACTTGTAACACTGAAGGAATTATATGGGCAAAATATTGAAAGATGAAGAAACATCAAAAGAAGATGAAAGGAATATACATTGTATCAAAAAGAATTAGTGGATGTTCAATCATTTCAGGAGGTAGCATATGATCAAGAATTGAAAGTGCTGGAAAAAGTCCAAGCTGCACTGAAGGCACTAGTGAAAAACAATTTTCCAGGATTGATGGAATACAAAGTGAAATCTTTCAACAAATATGCCACACTGGAGGGGCTAACTACGCCAGTTAGACAGCTACCTGGCTAACTGACTGCAAGCAATCTATATGTGTGCCCCTTCCAAAGAAAGGTGACCTAACAGAACAAAGAAATCATTGAACAATATCATTAATGTCACATGCAAGTAAAACTTTGATGAAGATAACTTTAACAACAGTGCAGCCGTACATTGCAGGGTGCTGCCAGAAATTCAAGCTGGATTCAGAAGAGGACATGGAATGAGGGATATCATTGTTGACATCAGATGGATCTTGGCTGAAAGCAAAGAATACCAGAGAGAAGTTTACTTGTGCTTTATTGACTACACAAAAGCATTCAATTGTGTGGATCACAACAAACTATGGATGGGTATTCCATAATACTTAATCGTGCTCATGAGGAACCTATACATAGACCAAGAGGCAGTTGTTTGACAGAATTAAGGGGACACTGAATGAGGTGTGCATCAGGGTTGTATCCTTTCACCATACTTATTTAATCTGTATGCTGAGTAAACAATCTGAGAAGGTGAATTAGATAATGAAGAAGAACATGGCATCAGGATCGGAGGAAGAATCACTACAAAGTCTCAAGTCAGGGTCAGGGAGCAAATACACCCTCCCCCACCACACACACACTAAAGGGTGGGCACCACTACATCTTAAAAAAAAAAAAAAAAAATCAGGGTGTGTGCCAATGGTAGGAAACCATCCAACAAGTTGCTTCAAAACATTGAGAGAGCAAACCAATTCTGTGCTCTGGCAGGCAGTGCTCTGAGCCAGCACCCAGAAGCATAGCCAATCATAAATCTAAGTTGACTGGAAACTTTACATGCTGACCCCTCAGTACTGGGTGCAGTGAGAAAGTGAATAGTAGCCCTCATTCTGACTCAAACATTTTCATCACTTGTACTGAAAGCAAAGACTTGGGCATGGGCGCTAGGCTGTAGAGGAACGTGCCGCAGACTCGGCCAGGAAGTGCAGGCTTCAGGCTCACAGGCCATAAATGTCTTCACACCATAAGAAAGGAGTTGGAGGGAGGGAGGAGAAGACAGGAAAATTAGCTGTGGGTTGGAAAGGCTCATTTTTCTGTATCCTTTATTCTTTTGCTGCTTGATTTGGCTGTAAGTTCTATAACAAAAACGTGTAGAATGGACAAATGTCATGGAAACACGTTGAAAATCAAACAACCTCTGCATTCCTCAAGAAGCCTAAAAAGGCAACTGGTGGGTCTGAGTAGAGTGGAATGAATGACTGTTTTCAGCTCAGCACAATAGCAGCTCACAGCCATGCTTGGGGGAGATTGTACTCTCAGAGGCATTTTGATAAATACCAAGATATTTATGAGCTTATTTATGAGACTACAGCTCCAGTTCAATGTTTTAAGTGAAGAAACGTCCTCCAGAAACTTGCAAGACCAAATGCTGAAAGGCACATCTCCAACCTTGGTCCTCTTGACTCGATGTCATTGCATTAAGCAAACTTGGGTTTCCAACAGCAAATTTCTCTTTATTTCTTAACTAGGTCCTTGCAGTGCATGGTCAATTTAGTTGGCCGACCCTACCCTTGCTGGGTTTGGCCAAAAGCACCATGTGTTTAAATATATAACAGCTATTTAATATTTAAATATTTAAATCAAGCCTATAACTTCATCCTACCCTAACCTTCAAACTGCCCAGAAGGCAAGATTAAAATGCTTACAGTCCTTGGAGCCTCGTGTCAGAATATGGCAGCATGGGAGGACCAGCCCCTGACTCCTGGTTCCCTATGTGCCCGTTCTGTTTCCACCGCAGGCTCAATCCTGTGTGGACACTTCAATCAGCAAGTACAGACTTCAGGCACACCCATTCCTACCACTGAACACCCCCTGGATCTAGGAATGAGTTAGACAAACCTAAAAAGGTCTGACAGTGAGCTTGGGGTCACTTGGGCAGGGAATTCTAGGGCATGTTTTAGAAGCGGGAGTGTGGATTCTGGGAAGAAACTTCCTCTTAGCTTACAGACTTCATGTTCCATGGGAAATGACCCAATCCTCAGTAGTGCAAGTCCTGGACAGAGGTATCATTTACCTGGTCTAAGGACAGAATGAATATTTGGTCTCCTCATGAGTTATATAGCAAGCACATTTACTCAGAAATCTCTAATCCGATATGAGAATTAGAACAAAAATCTATAATGATATGAGTTGCTCTTTGAAAACATAAATTATACTTTACCTGAATATATAGTTTAAGTACTGCTGGTCAATGTCACTAAGGAAGCAGAGAGAGAAAAATGATGGAGCATACAGAATATGGAAGGGTTTTATATACAACAAATAGCTATTATCCTTTTTAAATAAATTATATCAGATGTAAGTCACACATTTATAAATTATCAGTAAAGAATACAAAGAGTACTTAATATTCAAAGTCAGTTCCCGGTTCATTAAAAATACATATATCCTAGTTCACTACAATCAAACACATTTTCCTCTATGGCTGATTACTTCCTTTAAAAGGAATGTCATGTATCTCCGGCCAGTGGATTGACTTTTATGAGGCACTCAAATATATCTGAATTTCGTAGACAGAATAATGTTTAAGTAGGCTTCAAATACTGAATGGGACATACCCACACAGTTGCTGTTGAGTCAAGTCTGACTCATGGCAACCCTGAGTGTGTCAGAGGAGAACTCCACAGGGTTTTCAATGGCAGGTTTTTTTAAGGTAGCTCACCAAGTCTTTCTTAGGTACCTCTGGGTGGATTTGAATCCCCAACCTCTCTATTAGCAGCTGAATCAGTATTTGTACCATTCAGGGACTTCTGATGACACAAACTTTAACTAAAAAAACTATTTACTGTTAAGCTGAAATTCAAATTTAAGTGGGTGTTCTCTGTTTTATCCGGCAACTCTACTGGCATCTCACTGCAAAACCACTTTATTAAAAGACCAAAAGGTGGGAGTACTTGTAACTGCCTAGTTCCTCTGTGCTAGCCCAATTCCTGAATAGCTCTACTTCTCAATAAACCTCTTTTGCTTTTACTTAAAAAGAAAAAAAAAATGTGCTCTAGGGATTGGAAGCCACACATTCTTACTGTATAGTCTTGTTCCTCAGACCTGCCCTCTCTGGACCATCAGGCAGGCCAGCCCCCTGGAAATCCAGCAGCCAATCAGTCTCAGGAAAGCAACCCTGGTAGCTCCAGTTCACCCAGGCCTGAGTCCTCTCCTTAACATTCACCAAGGCCAAACAACTGCAACAAGGCCTCACTTGGCCTAAGGAACAGAGACAGTAGCTAGGAGACTCAGGATCTAAACTGAATCAAGTCAGGAGAGGGCAGGGAAACAAGAAAGAGTTGTACTTCTAAGCTGGAGCTGGTCAATTAAGGCCTAGCAACGCTGAAAAGTCATGTAATCACTGCGCCAGAAGGACGTGAGTTCCCATGCTTTTCCACCCATCAGAGAAGGCAGACAAATACTGGGTCTTGGGGCCAGCCCTGGCATTGGAGACAGAAACGGCTTTAGGAGCCAAGTTAGGCACCCTCAGTGTCGCCCAATCTCACACCATAATGGATCTTACACCTTTAACCAAACAGGCTTGCCCGACTAAAAAGTTTACCTTAGCACGTTGGGCTTCTGGGACCTCTGTCGTATTTTATAGGTTCCTGAAACCAAAGTGGCATGTGTCATTAGCAGGTGATTTTTTTTTTTTTTTTTTTCCTTAATCTTTTTTTTTTTTTTTTGTATAATATGCTGCCTGCATTTCGATGTGAAGCACCATGCCCTAATGGCAGAGGGTCCACGCAGGTGCGGCTGCTACACTCGCTCTCCCTGCGGGTCATACATCCCACAGGGGGCTTCAAGTAATCCTTTATGATCATGCATCACGTGCTAACAAAGCCCACAGAAAAGATGAGCCATCAACCAATACTATAATGAGCAGGGCAGTTTTTATTTCCCATGAAAGATTTATGTGAAAAAGAGAAACAAACACCCCTGGAACTCTGGGATGCATGTAACACAACCAGAGCACAAGAATCCCACCAAGATTATTTACAGGAATCACTGAACACAGGACTGGAAGTAAAGTCAGGTAACTCTGACTTCATTTAACCCACTTAAAATTTATTTTGGTATGCTGATGAAAGAAAATGCTTTTGACACAAATTAATGGATATTCTCCCACTGCTTTCGTGGAAAACCAATCAGCACACAAGCCAAGCTGAAGACACAAATCCAAGCTATGTTGTTGTTGTTAGGGTCCATCGAGTCAATTCCGACCCATAGCGACCCTGTATAGAGTTTCCAAGGAGCGACTGGTGAGCTTGAGCCACCGACCTTGCAGTTCAAATGGCTTTGCAGTCTGGCGCATTAACCCACAGCGCCACCCCAGGAATCCAAGCTATGGGAGTCCATTAATGTTTGTCTGAAAAAGAGGAAACAATACTGAGTCCTGGTGTGGCGCTGTGAGTTAATGCGCCAGACTGCAAAGCCGTTTGAACTGCAGGCGCCAGCTGCTCTTCAGAAACCCTATACAACAGGGTCACTGTGGGTTAGAATCAACTCGATGGCATTTAATAACAACAACAACATATTGGGAATGGAACTGTTTGAGAAAACCTCCAAACAACAACAACAACAACAAAACATTTACTATACTTCTATGGAAGGAGCTCTGGTAGCGTAGTGGTTATGAATCGGGCTGCGAACCTTAAGGTCAGCGGTTCGAAACTACCAGCCGCTCCACGGGAGAAAGATGAGGCTTTCTACTCCTGTAAGGATTTATACCCTCGGAAACCCTGTACAGGGTCGCTATGAGTCGGAACCGACTCGACGGCACTTAACAACAACAACATACTTCTATGGAGCTCTGGTAGCTCAGTGGTTGCAAATCAGGCTGCTAACCTCAAGGTTGGCAGTTCGAAACGACCAGCTGTTCCGAGGGAGAAAGATGAGGCTCTCTGCTCCTGTAAAGATTTACAGCCTCGGAAACTCTGTGTAGGGTCACTATGAGTGGGAACCGACTTCACAGAACTTAACAACAGCAAATACTTTTATGCAAATAATACCTGCGTTGTCTCTCTTTTTTTTTTTTGCCAATCATACCCTCTCCATAAACATTCTATTCTAATTTTTTACAATAACATGTAAAAAAAAAAACAAAACTGGCATAGCCTGCTTAAGGAAATACCTGGAAGGGGGAGGGTGCACAGTGGGAGAAAAAATGTAGAATGCACATATTTGCATAAAATATGATCATTATAACCCTAATGTCTTTGGATTTAGTTCTCCTGTTGTCCAGGGTGCCTCTAAGGTTTAATAAGCCTCAATTATAAAACTAAATGGACTCCTGGTATGGTGCTGTAGGATCAGCACTGGATTGCTAATGCTAAGGCAGCCGCTCCCCAGAAACCCTATTGTTGTTGTTAAGTACTGTAGAGCCGGTTCCAACTCATATAGACCCTGCAACAGGGTTTCCAAGGCTGCAAATCTTTATGGGAGCAGAAAGCCTCATCTTTCTTCCGTTTCAAACTGCTGACCTTGAGATTAGCAGCTTGATTCGTAACCACTACGCTACCAGAGCTCCTTATAAACCCTATACAGAGTCCCTATCCCTATACAGAGTCTCTAT